TTTCCACACAGGTTACTTTTCTTCGACAAAGATTTTTTTCTTTTCTTTGGTGATGACTATTCAGCTTTCAATAGACTCAACAAACTCTTGTGCTTTACAATGGCCTCGTTTGGAAAGTGGCTATTTTAAAAGTTTTTTGATTTTTTAGCTATTTTAGTAGGTTATTTTAATTTTTGTGTTTGGAAAGATGAGATGGATTTTATTTGAGTTGTTGTATTGAAAAATGTGTTAAAATGATGTTTGAAGTTAAAATGACAAATTTGTCCCTAAAAATATATTTTTTAAAATTGATGTAAAGGGGTAAAATCGTAATTTACTCATTGATGGAACAATTTGTGTAGCTGACAGTGTAGGCTGTGCCTACACTGCCGGCAGTGCAGTCTATTATTATTATTATTATTTTTTGAAAAAACTTTAAACAGCGAATTTTTTGTCTAAATTTTCATTTGAGGCTATAATAGCCTCAATCTACTCTTTCCAAACAGCGCCAATAAGTGAGTTTCAATTTTTTTTTGCAAATCACGTACTATTGTCTGGTGAGGGATGATGAGTCGTTTAGTGGTGGGATTCACTAACCTTAGGTGACAGTCTAACTAAAGTTTTGATCATTTATTGAGTCATCTACTTGGAACTGTAGCATTACTGTCCTCTATATACTCATCGCCTTCTTCACAATAGCCTTTTAAGCCGAGTCCAGATCCTCTGCCATACTTTCCTGCCATTCTCCAAAACGACGTCGTTTTGGGGCAAAATTTCAAAAAAAAATAATAAAATAAAACAAAACAGAACCAGATCCGCCATTGTTGAAGCTGTTCAACTGTTAAAAATCAAAAATTATACTACATATATGAAACCATCCCTATATATATATGTATATATATCTTTATATCCATACAAATCTACAATATATATATATATATATATTACAAATCAACAGAACCAGATCCGCCATTGTTGATCCACCATTGTTGAAGCTGTTCAACTGTTAAAAATCAAAAATTATACTATATATATGAAACCATCCCTATATATATATGTATGTATATATATCTTTATATCCATACAAATCTACAATATATATATATATATATATTACAAATCAACAGAACCAGATCCGCCATTGTTGAAGCTGTTCAACTGTTAAAAATCAAAAATTATACTATATATATGAAACCATCCCTATATATATATGAATATATATCTTTATATCTATACAAATCTACAATACATACATATATATATGTATATATATTACAAATCATAGGCTAAAAAATATAATAAAAAATGTGAAGATCCTCTGTAATACCCAAAATCCCAAATGGGAAAACCCCTTGATCATCTTTATCTAAATATGTATTAACACATAAACAAAAATTTACACAGATGCATCATAACCCAGATGGGGAAACTCCATGGATGATACACATATTAAAGTTCTGAGAAATGAGAGTTTTTGCAAATGAAGATGAAAAGTAAAAAGAAAACCAAGCTTTGATGCTAAATCCTACTCATCAATTACAAGAAACCCAAGAAAATTTTGAGAAATGCATATACATCATAGGGTTCAGTGGAACAAGGATTGAAAGGAATGCCCACCTGGTTTTTCTCTCCTTTGGTCAATTTTAGAGAGAAAAATACCCAAATGCAGAAAAGATCCCAAGTCCCTTGTGTTTCTTTTTGGGGGTTTGAATGAATGAATGCTGTGTCCAAATGAGCCCTTCCCAAACGACACCTAAAAAGACAAATGGATTAACCAACCAATGCTTCCATGTTATGCTGAGATTTGGATGTCGGCATCTGAGGGCTGACCGACATCAAAACAATTTTTTATTATTTTTCTTTTATTATATATATAGGGAAAACCCATGGATGATACACATATTAAAGTTCTGAGAAATGAGAGTTTTTGCAAATGAAGATGAAAAGTAAAAGAAAACCAAGCTTTGTTGCTAAATCATACTCATCAATTACAAGAAACCCAAGAAAATTTTGAGAAATGCATATACATCATAGGGTTCAGTGGAACAAGGATTGAAAGGAATGCCCACCTGGTTTTTCTCTCCTTTGGTCAATTTTAGAGAGAAAAATACCCAAATGCAGAAAAGATCCCAAGTCCCTTGTGTTTCTTTTTGGGGGTTTGAATGAATGAATGTTGTGTGTAAAACTTGTACACTAGTCCTCCCAAGTCCCAATCTCTCTCTCTCTCTCTCTCTCTCTCTCTCACTCTTTCTCTCTCTCCTATTATGTGCATCAAAATCAGAGAAGGAGAGTGAGCTTCTCCAATACAATCAGAGAGAGAAAGAAGAACGAAGAAGAAGAGAAAAAACAAGTGCAAAATTTTTTCATCATCGTCATCTGGATCTACAAAATTTTGATGTTTGTTGAACCCAGCAGAACCAGCAGACGCCTCTTCGTCGTTCTTGTCTTCTTTCTTCTTCCCCTTCTCTGGTTCTGTTTTTGTTTTATTTTATTTTTATTTTTTTTTTGAAATTTTGCCCCAAAACGACGTCGTTTTGGGGCATGACAGGAAAGCATGGCAGGAAAAGTATGGCAGAGGATCCGGACTCCTTTTAAGACTGACACGATTATTGTACCGAAGCTTGGAAAGCATCTTGATCTCTGGGCCTCGCCTCTGCCCCCAGGATGGGGAGTTCGGATCCTCTCCTGCCATTCTCTCCTTCCCTTCCTCCGGGGGACGGGCCAGATTTGGCCACGTCACCCCGTAATAAATCTGGGGCTCAGATTAATTCAAAAAAAAAAAAAAAAACCTGCTGACACATCTGTCTCAGATGTCTCACTAGTACACACACTCTCTCTCTCTCCTAATTTTTAACAAATATTATTTAATAAAAAATTAAAATAAAAAAAAATAATTTATATGTTTAGTTATGTTTTAAAATTATTATTTTTTTAAATATTTTTTTACATGTTTTTTAAATATGTAAAATATTTTTTACATATTTTTTAAATAAAAAATAATTATTATGTTTTATTTTTTAAAAAAACGTGATCACATCATTTCTCATATTTTTTACATGTTTTTTTTTTCAAAAAAAAAAAAATCAAAAAATTATCTTTTAACCATCTTCCCCAAACTCCTTTATATTTGATTTGTACCTATGCACTGATTAGATTTGTGTTTTTTTTTTATTTCCTTTAAAAAAAATTATTTTCATATGATTTTTTTTAATAAAGATTGTTTTTGAGAATTTAAAAAATATATGGTTTTTGTGTGTTTATTCCATCAAATTAATTTTTATATTTAAAAAAATAATAATTTCAAAACATAACTATACATAGTTACTTTTTTATTTATTTTAAATTTTTATTAAATATATTTAATGTTAGTCTCATTTTAAAGGTATATTTTTAATGATATTTTAATTTTATAAAATTAAATTTTTATATTAAAACTATACATATTTATGAAAATAAAATAAA